GAACGGCAGGTATGAACTGCCATGCCAACTTACACATGAATTATTTTATTTAACTCTTGAATTAAAGAAATCCAGAAGATGTTATATTAATATGTCCACAAGAAAAGCCAAAGGGTTGGGGGCTGGAGAGATGGCTCAGTGGTTAAGAGCATTGCCTGCTTTTCCAAGGTCCTGAGTTCAATTCCCAGCAACCACATGGTGGCTCACAACCATCTGTAATGAGGTCTGGTGCCCTCTTCTGGCATGCAGTCTCACACAGACAGAATATTGTATACATAATAAATAAATATTTAAAAGAAAAGAAAAGTCAAAGGGCAAATCTGTATAGAAAATGGACTATTGAAACAAACATGCAAATTGGTACAATAGTGGCTCCAGCCAGTGGAGAAAGCCATCTGTCCAGTGGACAGGATTAATGTGCATGTCTGGAAGCCAGAATAATTTTGCATTGCTGTCAATGATCTACTGCCGACAGCATGGTTAAGACTGGAAGGCAAGGGAGACTGTGCAAGGTTCCCCTGAAGCACCGGTTCCTCCCTACTATCCCTCACCTGTTATTCCCCACGCTCAATGCCACCCCCCCACAACACACACACATAAGGAAAGATTTTAATTTGTACAGAGCTGTGTCTCCAGCACATGAGAAAGTACATGGTGGGGCTGGAGAGGTGTCTCAGAGGTTAAGAGCACTGCCTTCTCTTCCAGAGGTCCTAAGTTCAATTCCCAGCAACCACACGGTGGCTCATAACCATCTGTAATGAGATCTAGTGCCCTCTTCTGGCCTGGAGGGATACATGCAGACGGAACACTGTAGGTACATAATAAATCTTTAAAAAAAAAAAAAAGAAAAGAAAAGAAAAGTACTTGGCATATCAGTGCCAATAAGTATCTGTTGAACAGACACCTGAATAGTGGAAGCAGTAAGAGGAGACCTAGGACTTTAGGCATATCACAATCCCAAATATATGGATATCTATTTTTAATTTTTATGTGTATAGGTGTTTTGCTTGCATGCCTATCTATGCACCACATACATGCCTGGTGCCTGAAGAGACCAGAGAGGGTGTCAGATTCCCTGAGACTAGAATTGTAGACAGTTCTGAGCTGCCATGTGGGTGCTGGGAATTGAACCTGGGTCCTCTGGAAGAGTAGTACACACTCTTGACCACTGAGCCATCTTTCCAGCCCTATTTTTAATTTTTTTAACATCATACATGTATGTGTGATGTGGATGTGTTGATACAGGCACACACATGCCACCATGCCTGTGGAGGACAACTTTGTGGAATTGGTTCTCTCCTTCCACCCATACGTGCATTCTAGGGCTAGAACTCATATCATTAAGCTTGTGTGGCGATTACTTTTACCTGCTGAGAAAGTGAGATGGTTCCAAATATTTATGTTTAAAGGGACATTTTCATGTTGGCCATGGTGGTACACACTTATAAACTGAGCACTTGGGAGACAGAAGCAAGATTATGAGTCAGAGTACACAGTGAGACCCTGTATCAAATGAATAAATAAAAAACAAAATAGTTTATAGCAATAATCACAGCACAGGGAAGCATGAGGCAGGAGGGTCCTGAGTTTGAGGCTAATCTGACCTATATCAGTGAGAACCCCAAATCAAGAAAAACAAGGCCATTTGATGTGTTCTACCTGGTTCAAACCAGTTCTCCTATAACCAACTCAGCCTGACATGCTGCCATCCCTAACACCCTTCAACACTGGCAGTAAGGAAACTACACACATGTCCAAGCGACAAGAGACCACGCAATTTGTGCCAGCATCTATGCTAATCTATCTAGTTGTTTCTCTTAGACAGCTCAGGCTGCTGCAATAAAATGTCATGTACTGGTGTATGTAACAACAGACTTAGTTTTCTCTGCTGACTGAAGGAAGAAGATCGAGATGCCAGGACCCTGAGCACCTAAAGAAGGCTCCCTTCTTGCTGCAGATGTTCTGGATTCTTCCTGTGTTGTGTTCTCGCTTGTGGAGAAGAGGCAGAAAGCAACTCTCTCGTCTTGTTTGTTTTGTTTTTGTTTTTGTTTTTGTTTTTTTGAGACAGGCTCTTATTACTCTGGGCAATCGTTTAGTTTCACCTCCCAAGTATAGGGATTACAGGCTCACACCATTACACCAGCAGAAGACCCCTCTTGTTCTATGGACATCAGTTTCATGACACCTAGAACCCTCAAGACCTTATGCAAACCTGATCGCCTTACCAAGGCCTTGCCTCTAAGATCACACTGGAGGTTAGGGCTTCAGTTTAGGAATGGGGAGGGGCATAGTTCAGTCTACATTATCCAGGTACAGAAAATTCTAGACTTTAATGAAAACAGTGTTGTCTTCAGCAGATCCATCTATGTTACTTGATTTGGCTCTTTTGAGAATTATTTCCCATCTCTGTAAACTGTTGATAACTGAAAACAGTAGGTACTTATCATTACCCATAGACATGCAAATGAATACTGCCAGGCAACACACAACCCCCTTCCCCTGGAAAAACCAGTTCTGCAGCCGTTTGCATATTTATTGCAATATTTCTACAGACTGTTCTTTGGATTCTCCTTTGAAGCAGTTTTAACATATCACCAGTTTCTTTATCATCTCTCTTTTTTTTCCAGACAGGATTCCTGTAGTCCAAGCTAGCTTCACACTTGACTTGCAATGGAGGATGGGATTACAGCGGTACACTGATTACAGGGGTACACTACTGTGCCTGCTTTATGTAGAACAGGGGTTGAACACAGCTTTGTGCATGATGGTCAAGCACTATGCCAACTGAGCCCCAGCCCCCTTCATTACTCGTTTGTTTGTATGTTTGTTTCTCTGTGTAGCTCTGACTCTCCTGGAACTTCCTCTGTAGACCAGGCTGGCCTTGAACTCACACAGTTCTGCCTGTCTCCGCCACCAGAGTGCTGGGATTAGAGGTGTGCACCACCACCTCCCAGCCTCTTCAGTACTCCTTACAGTTCTCTTGAAAATTCTACAGCTGGGTACACGCCCCAGATCCCAGCACTTGGAGGCAGAAGCAGGTCAATCTTTGTGAGTTCAAGATCAGTCTGGTTTACATCGTGAGTTCTAGGACAGCCAGGCTACTAGAGAGACCCTGTCTCAAAAAAAAAAAGTGGGGGTGGGGGCTGGAGAGATGCTCAGCAGTTAAGAGCACTGACTGTTCTTCCAGAGGTCCTGACTTACAATCATCTATAATGAGATCTGATGATCTGATGCCCTCTTCTGGCATGCAGGCATGCATGCAGACAGAGCATTTATACAAAAAAAAACAAAAAAAAACAAAAAACAAAAAAAAAAAACAAAAAAACTTGTAATGCTAGGGCTGGGAATTTACTAGGGATGGGAATTTAACTCAGGAGTGGAGTGTATTGCCTAGCATGCATAACTAACCAAGCACCAATACACACAAAAAAAGTAACAGTGTGTGTATGTGTGTGTGTGTGTGTGTGTGTAAGGATCTCAGGGGAAAAAAAACTTTAATGCCCAAGGCTAGAACAGTTTGAGCAGCAAGATAAAAGGCAGACTCAGTGGCACACAAGGTTACATAGAAAGACCCCATCTCAAAGGGGAAAAAGTAGTATTGGATTACAACCTTTAGCATAAGATACATATGTACAAATCCATAGTGATCGAAATGGGTGAATGCATGGGGGCAGATGACACATTTCTCACACAAAGACTTTCATGTAATACATGTGATTTCTGCAACTACATGCCACCCCACAAAGAGGTAAATAGCAGCTGACTTCCAAAGAGTACAGCAGAAAGGTGAGGGGACAGGGGACAGTCACTCTACAGTAGAGAAACCTGACTAATGTTTCATCAGCTAAAGGGGTCAGGCTGGGCACTGCTAGATTATTTTTAAAAGCAGCTATATAAAGAGAGAAAGCAGGAAGAAAGAGAGGTCTGGCCTAACCTTAGCTGGGACATTAATTCACAGCAAAAGAGCATTTTATCACCCATGCGTGAATGACCAAAATGTTTACAGGGAAATATCTCTTCTGTGCGCAAAAATGGGTGGAAATGACTTCCCTAGCCTGCAAGGGAAGCTGGGAAGTGTAGTCCTTCAGCAGGAAACTATCATTCCTAACTCTCTGCAAGGATATAAAAAAATGCAAGACAGGAATGTTATAGCTTTCTGCTGGGAAGAGTCTGGGGGTATAAGTGAGGAACGGAGGTGGGAGAAAGTGGCCATAGAGTTGATTAAGGGTGACAGTGACTGGTCCCATTGTCAAGACTGTTGCGCTAGGACTGGCGAGATGACTCAGTGGTTAAGAGCACCAGCTGCTCTTCCAGAGGACCAGAGTTCAATTCCCAACAACATGAAGGCAAAACACTTTATACATAATAATAAATAAATAAATAATTTTTTAAAAAAAGACTGTTGCACTAAAATGAGGTAACAGAGAGCTGCAGAGCATCAAAGGGGGAAATGGAAGAACATAGAGGTCTAATGTAAAGAATTTTTTTTGGCTTAGGGTATAACGGAAGAAGGTCCATTTTAGCCGGAGTTCCACTATAGCATCTCAAAGGTCTTTTTGCAGATGTCTCAGGAACAAGTGGCGCTGTTGTAGGGTGAGAGCAGTTGATAGCGCTTACATGGAACATTTTATTTGGGTATAGGGGGAAGTAAGTAAAGCTGGTTTGCTTTGTTTTGTTTTTGAGACAGGGGTTCTCTGTGTAGTGCTGGCTGTACTGGAACTCGCTCTGTAGATCAGGCTGTCCTCAAATCCACAAAGTTCCACCTGCCTCTGCCTCCTGAGTACTGAAATTAAAGGCATGCGCCACCATGCCAGGCTGTTAAGTAAAACATTTAAAAAAAAAATAACATAAATGGGGGGGGGGACTGGAGTGATAGCTCAGCAGTTAAGAGCACTGACTGTTCTTCCAGAGGACCTGGGTTCAATTCCCCACACCCACATAGCAGCTTGCAACTGTCTGTAACACCAAGATCAGACAAACATGCAGGCAAAACACCAATACACATAAAAAAAAAAATGATCTTTAAAAAAAATAATAAATAAATAATTGGGTAAAAACATTAGTATGAAGATAATAAGGAGGAAAGAGGTGATCTGGGGAGGAATCAGAGTGGGAGGAAACCAGAAGGAATTTTTGTCTAGTCCCATTTCAAATCAGTTAGGCTCTGTTGGCCTGGAAGCAGCATTGTCCAAGGAGGGCACAGATCCCACCCTTAGCAGATCCCATCCTCAGATCTTGTCCGTTGCAACTTTGGAGTACTGCAGCAGGCAGGGAGTTGAGCTGGTCCTGAAGGATGTGAAGCTGGTCTAATCTGGTGAGACAGAGAGGTTAATTGATACCAAAGAATCCCAAAACCCATGTCCAGAGTGGAAAGACAAAGGACAAATTGGACGGTTCATGGTCCATTAGTCCCTTTTATAAGTCAGCCAAACTGCTTTTAGGGGGTTGGTGACATCGTTCTCTCAGGAACTGCTTCAAGGCTGGCAGAAGGGCCATTGGAGGAGCAGTAGTTAGAGTGTCTCAGAAGAGGGTCCAATCCAGGGCCATGAGAAAACTTAACAGTTGGCAAAGATCCAAAACAAAAGCTGGGTGGTTATGATATAGTCTATACTATCGACTCTGAAATTAGTTTTTGCTAAGAGGAAGAACTGAATGCCAGGGTAAAGAGCATGACCAATTGAACTTGCCTGCAGGAAACGACCAGGCACCAACAATGATGGGTCTTGACGTATACACCCTCACTGTGGTCAAAACAACTGTACTTTACCTCTGGCCTTCCAGAACCCATCGTCCCACAGTAATCATGAGAGAAACTTAAAATAGGCACCAGTGAATGGACCTCCTACAAAACACCTGGCTGGTACTCCTCAAAACTGTCTAGTCTGTAAAACAAACAAATAAGCAAAAACAAGAGCAGTCTGAGACTGACACAGACAAGACAAGTCTGAGGCATTATTATTATGTGAGGTCATGGGGGAGTGACCTAGGAAGAGAGGAGACTGTAAGGAAAAACCTCGGAGCTGAGTGATAACACAGGCCTACAACCCAGCATTCAAGCATCTGGATTGGGAGTTCCAGGCTAGGCTGGGTGACAGGGCCTTACTCTTATAAAACAAAAACAAAGTAAAACCAAGGGATTCTAAATAAATAGACTTCAGGTAATAAAATGTATAGTACTGGCTCATTCACTTTGACAAATGTGCCACAGTGTGATGTAAAGACGAGGAAAAACGGGACTAGGGATGGCTGAAAGTGGTTGCCAGGCATGCGCGAGGCCCTCCATTTTATTCCCAACACAGGTGCTAACGATAATAATGGGGGAAAAAACAATAAGGAAGCCAGATGTGTGGCACAGCGGCTATTCCAGCACTCTGGAAGCTGAGGCAGGAGAATCATCACATCAAGGGCAGCTGAGCTGCATAGAAGGACCCTGTCTCAAAATAACAAAAGGGCAAAGTGGTGACAGAATAATAGGAAATCTGTATTATCTTGATAGAAATATAGGACATCTGTATTATCTTTTCCACTCACTCCTGTTTGGTTTGGTTTTGTGAGGCAGGATCTTCACCTCCTCACACAATCTTCCTTCCTCGGCTTCCTGGAATTACAAGCAGGTGTTACCAGACTGACTTTTTTTCTTTTCCTCCTGACAGTGTCTGAAATCTATAGCCCAGGCTGGCCCCAACTTCAAGGTGACTCATCTCAGTTGCTGGAGTTACAGACTTGTCCCACTATGCACAGCTCAGCCTATATTTCCTTTTAAATCATTACTGCTATGTGTGTGCACGCACACCTGATGCCCCAGTTGGTCAGAAGAGGCCACCGGCTCCTCTGGAACTGGTGTTACACAGAGTTGTGAGGCACCATGTGGGTGCTGAGAAACAAACACAGGTCCTCTGCAAGAACAGCAAGGCTCATAACAGTTGAGCCGTCTTTCCAGTTCTAGCTTTTTCATTTTGAAAAGCTTAATAGCTGAGTGTGTTAGTGCACGCCTTTAATCCGAGCATTCATCAGGAGGCAGAGGCAGGAGGATCTCTATAAGTTTGAGCCCAGCCTGGTCTACAAAGCCAGCTCCAAGATAGGCAGGACTACAGAGAGAGACCCTGTCTCAAAATAAACAACCAAAAAAGCATAACAATTACCAATCATTAAGGATAACAGCTGGATGTGGTAGCATGCACGTGCCTACAATCCCAGCACTGCGAGGAGGTAGGAAAAGGGAGCGTGTGAGCCTAGCGGTGGTGGTATAAGCCTGCAGTCCTAGGACTCAGGAGACAATGGCAGGTAGATCTCTGTGAGTTCGAGGCCTGTCTCAGAAATGAATAAAGGTAACGAACCCATGTGGGTGGCACATGCATACTTAAGGTCCTGTCTTATTTTCCCTCAGCATCCTCAGGCCTAACAGAACCTGGCACCCACTGTTTGCTCCATAAATGAATGAGGACAAGATTAGACAGACCCAATCAAGAGACATGAGGTGTTCTCTAGACAGACAGATCCTTTGTCAGGGATATGCTACAGCAGCCAGCTCGGGGAACAGAGGTAGGGGGTGGAGCTCATCTTCTGGGGTTAGAATGAATGGCTGGGACCCCAACAATTTGCCCAGATCTGAAGGTAAAGTTGGAAATCCCAAAATCATCATAAAACACTTAATGTGTTCTGCTTTCTAAATTTAAAAACCTCTCAGTCGTGTTGTCACATGCCTTATTAACCACGGATGGCGTGAAGCTCCCTGGGCGCTGCATGCCGGATTCTAACTGAATAGAATGGCTGCCATGGATCGCCACTCTTGACACCTGATCCAATTAGATGATGTATTTGGTTTTTTTTTTTTCTTTCCTTTTTTTATTTTATTTGCGTTTCAAGGCAGGGTTTCTCTGTGTAACAGTTCTGGTTGTCCTGTAACTCGCTCTGTAGCCCAGACTGGCCTCGAACTTAGAGAGGTTCACCTGCCTCTGCCTCCCGAATGCTGGGATTAAAGGTGTGCACCACCACTGCCCAGCTCTTTTCTTTTTAAGTTTTTATTTTATGTGTATGGGTGTTTTGCCTGCATGTACATCTGTGTTTGTTCACCACATGTGTGGGATGCCCACAGAGGACAGAAGAGAGCACTGGATCCTCTGGAACAGTTACAGATGGTTGTGAGCTGCCATTTGGGTGCTGGGAATTGAACCTAAGTCCTCTGTTAAGATCAGTCAGTGCTCCTAACTGCTGAGCCATCTCTCCAGCCCCTTTCTTTTTTATCCCAGCCCCATTTTTTTTCTTTCCTTCACTCCCCAGGCATGAGCCACCAAGGCCTAGCGAGAAAGCGTGCTTACTGCCAAATGTGGGCATGGTGCAGATCAAACAGATACTTTTTTGCATGCTAGACAAGCATCCCCAGCTTTGTGTCTGAGGTTCCAGATACCTATGGATGACCTGTGTCTGAGTGTGTGCTTACTGATCACCTACTGTGTGAACATGCCATTGTCAACACTGGGGATGCAGGCAGATGAGCCTCCTGCACACGTGAACCTCACAATCTGACTCTAATAAGTGGCTGCAGAACTAATTACTCAGTCATTTCCATAATCAATTCCAACTGTGTACTGCAGAGAACCAGTAGGATTTATGACAGAGGAAGAGACTTGAGACGTCAGGGGCTTCCTGTTGACATTGGATCTAAGATCCAAAAGTTCAGCATGAGGAGACAGGGTGGGGGTGAACAGCATGAGCAAAGGCAGAAAGGAAGCAGGGATACCCAAGAATCTGAGGAAAGACCAATAAGAGGCTGGGACATGACAGGAATAAATGAAGAAGTCAGGAAAGCAAACAGGCGGATCTATCAGACCATTCAATGGCTGGATTATTGTTTTCAGTTTAAGTGTGTGGTTTATTCAACTAAGACTCTGAGGGTTAATTTTATATGTTAACTTGACTGGGCCATGGTAGCTAGTTAGACGTTTCTGGAAGCGATCAGAATTGGAATTGGGAGACTCAGAAAGTCAGATAGTTGTCTCCTATATGGGTGGGCTCATTCAATCTGTTGAGGAGCCATGAAGAATATGTGGAGTTGGTAGCTTGAGCTGGGACACTGCTGTCTTCTGCTATGGATGCTTCCAATTCAGGTCTGTGAACTACTTTGGCTTATAGGTGGAGATGGTAAGACCTTAGCTTCCATAATCACATGAGTTACTACCTTAAACCAAGTTTCTTTTTTTATTTATGTTTATTCATTTTACATACCAACCACAGTTCCTCCTTCCTCCCCCAAGTTTCTTTATAGTCACATGTCTACCTGACTCTGTTTCTCTGAGAACTCAAATACAGGTCCTCTTAGGCCATGCTGAACAAACTGTTTGTCACACTAAGGAGCCAACTTATTCATGTCCAATTTTGGCTCCAGGGTGCTCTGCCTCTAGTCTGCCCCTGCTCTAATCTCTCTTCAGCCTGTGGCCAAGAATAACCTTCCCAAAACAAATCTCATATCACTTCTCTGCTTTAAATGTTTCAAGGCTCTTTGCCTTCCTCGTGAATACCCAAATCCTTGTCTTTACTAAGCCAGCCCTAACTTGGTTCAGGTGCAGGCCCAGCGAAGCAGACCCCATTCCATATCTGAGTCTAACTGATGTACTGGAATCCTCTCTTTTCTAACATCGATAGGTACAAAAATAGGAAGTTGTGCTGGGGGAGGATGCCTGTAGAGCGATAGAAAACCACTCTCCCCCCCAGACAAGAGGAGGAAGTGGCAGTCGACCATGAGTGGAAGTGGCTGCAGATCTGTGGGCAGGAAAACAGCAGTGGAAGGACCCTGAGCCCTGGCTGATGTCACTAAGTCAACAGTTCCCACAGTCTAGTTTACTGCTGAATTTTCAGCTGGGAAAAAGAAACCATGTTTATGCAGGTTAGAAACTGGATTTGGGTTTCTGAAAGCTAGTACCCAGATTATAACTCAGCTCTCCCTACAGATTGAACCATCTTACCTGGCCATACTTCACTTTGGTCTTTCACAAAACCATTCCCTTTCAGGTGTCAGGACTCAATACAATACATGAATAAAGAACCAGGCAGCTAACTACAACAGCAGATCTTGCAAAGGAGGACTTTTTCCTGGAGTGGAGGAAGTGATGTTGGGAGGCTATTGGGATCTAGCAGAGTTAAGCCAGCTGATGATGGCTTCTTCTGAAAAAAATAGTCTGACAGATGAAGGTTTCAAACATTTTTTTTTATTGGTGAGACTTTTAACTTGACTCTTTACTGTGTATCAAGCAACATACCAATTACTGTGTTTATAACCAAGAACAACAGACTTCCTGGCTGCCTCAATCTCAAAATTTTAAATAATAAATGTAAATTTCACACGAGAGTAAAAACTATGAAAAAATTTTGTTTTATTGGTGTTGGGAATTGAACTCAGGGCTCTGTGCACAGGGCTCTGTGCAAGAACCACTCTGCTATCCAGACACATTCCTAGCTCTAAGACAAAACTTAAGTTAAATAAAGTCAGTGTCTTAGTTACGGTTTACTATTGCTGTGAAGAATTAACCATGGCAACTCTTAAAAAAGAAAACATTAATTGGGGGTGGCTCACATAGTTTCAGTCCATTGTCATCATGATGGGGAGCACTGTGAGGTGCAGGTGGTGCTGGAGTTGAGTGAATGACTTCTTGCAGGCAACAGGAAGTCAACTGAAACACTGGGCAGTATCCTGAGCACAGGATACCTCAAAGCCTGAGCCCAAAGACATACTTCCTCCAACAAGGCCATACCTACTCCAAAAAAGTCACATCTCCTAATAATGTCACTCCTTATGAAATTATAGGGCCAATTGCATTCAAACTACCATAGGCAGTATGAGATTGAAAGTTTGGCTACCAAACTATATTTTTCTGAAATAGCCTCTAAACTCACTGAACAGAGAATCCTACAAGAGGAAGCATTCCTCTCTCACTACAGTGGGTACCCTGAAGATGGTGCCATTACCTGTCTGTCCCACTGACCACAGCTGACAGGACCAGGGGCAGACAGCTGACAAGGCCAATGAGATGCTCTCCTGGGAGTTTGGACATAGAACCTCTAGTATTTAATAGACAGTATAGAAGAGAGATGATTTAGCAGGGGCACTGAAGGCTGAGTGGCAGAGATGCAGAGAAAGCGAGTCCAGAGAGGGAAGATAAACACAAAGAGACCAATTTAAGAAAATGGAAGTTTTAGAGGAACAAAAAGAAGCTACTTCAGGTCCCAGTGGGTTTCAGGTAGATTCCCATTACTCCAGAGATCTGGTTGGAGTCCTGACTTTTGGATCTAGAGTTCTAGAATTTTCAATGCATTCCCTGGTGGAGTATTCCTAGTCTGCTTTATTCCTTGCAATCAAAATTACTGCTTCTAAGGATGACAATGCTGATGATCAGAAAGACTGAGAACGCTTATCTAAAAAACAAACAAACAAACAAACAGTATAGTCATTAGTCAACAATCCCATACTTTCTCTACCTCAGCCTGACAGCCACTATTCTGCTTTGTCTCCGACTCATCCTTTGGTGACTTTGGCACAAGGTTCATCAGTGTTATGACATGTTTCAGAACCAATTTAGCATCCTTTGTTTGACATAGGGTCTCAAACAGCTCAAGCTGGTCTCAAAGTCGTTATGGCTCCTGGAGGGAGTTTTGGGGGAGACAGGGATACAAAGACTCACTGTGCTGCCTTGGCTGGCCTGGAGCTTGGCTCAGTGAGGAAAAGTACTTGTGTTAAAGTCTGCTGACCTGGCAGGATAGGGCAGTGGTGGTACATGCCTTTAATCCTGGCACATAGGAGGCAGAGACAGGTAGATCTCTGTGAGTTCAAGGTTAGCCTGGTCTACAGAGATAGTTCTAGTCCTGAACAGTCAGGGCTATAGTCTCAAACATTGTCTCAAAAATAGTCTGGTGACCTGAATTCAATCCCTGGAACCTCAGTTGAAGGTGAGAACTGATTTCTGAAATCTGACCTCTGACCTTACAAGTATACTTGCACAGTACACAAATAATTTTAAAAAATTAAATAATTCTATATGGAAGATGACCTTCAATTGCTGATTCTCTGGTCTCCACCTCCAAAATGCTGGGATTACAGGCCCAAAACACCATACAGGGTCTACTTGGCATTACAATACTTTGGAAACACATTCTCATTCCCTGAGCACAAGCCTATGAGTTTCTGTATTTTCTCTATTCCCTCACCATCATCATCATCATCATCATCATCATTATTATTATTAAATTTTTTGAGACAGGGTCTCTCTGTGTAACCACTATGATTGTCCTGGAACTTGCTCTGTAGACCAAGGCTGGCCTCAAACTCACGGAGATCTGCCTGCCTCTGTCTCCCAAGAGCTAAGATTAAAGGCATGTGCCACTACCACCTGGTCCCATACCCACCTTCTTTCTCTCTACTTTTTTGGCTTTTGTGGCTCAGGATGACCTTGAGCTCACTTTCTTTCTGCATCAGCTTCCACCCCCACCCACCCAAGACAGAGTTTCCTCTGTGTAGCCCTGAATGTCCTCTAACTCGCTCTGTAGAAGAGGATGATATGACCTTGAGCACTGGGATCAAAGGCATGTACCTCTATGTCCAGTTTACCGCTGCCTTTTGAAGGCTAGAATCACTGGCATGTGTCATCACACCTGACATAATCATTTTTAATGTTTCAAGAGTAGTAGTTCAGACGTCACTTAATTAAGAGTTGGGAGGGGGGGCTGGAGAGATGGCTCAGTGGTTAAGAGCATTGCCTGCTCTTCCAAAGGTCCTGAGTTCAATTCCCGGCAACCACGTGGTGGCTCACAACCATCTATAGTGAGGTCTGGTGCCCTCTTCTAGCCTGCAGACATACACACAGACAGAATATTGTATACATAATAAATAAATAAATTAATAAAAAAAAGAGTTGGGAGGGGGCACTGGAGAAATGGCTGAGCAGTTAAGAGCACTGGTTATTCTTGTAGTAGACCCAGGTTTGACTCATAGCACCCACATGGCAGCTTATAGCTGGCTATAACTCCAGTTCCAGGGGATCAGCTGCCTTCTTCTGACCTCCACAGGACCAGACGTACACATGGCAAATGGACATACAGGCAGGCAAATATTTATAAAAAAATTTTTTTTAAAAATTAAGAGTTAGTCTAGGCATGGTGGCACTGCCTTTAATTCCAGGACTTGGGAAGAAAAGGTATCTCTGTGGGCTCAAGGCCAGCCTAGTCTACAAAGCTAGTTCCAGGCCAGCCAGGGCTACATAGTGAGACCCTGAATCCTTAAAATTGTCACAGATCTGAGTTTAAGACTGCCTTATATCATATCCCAAAAGTTTTACTTAATTTTTCACAGTTTCAGTTTCTCCATCTATAACATAATGAAAACACAACAGAACCTCCTCCCTCAAACAGTAATAATACCACCTATCTCCTGGAGTAAGAGTTAATGAGTTAGGGACTGGAGAGTTGGGGCAGCGATTAAGAGTACTGGCTGGGGCTGGAGAGATGGTTCAGTTGTTAAAAACACCATATGCTCTTCCAGAATGACCTGGGTTCAATTCCCAGCATCCATATGACTGCTCACAACTATCTGCACCTCCAGTTCTAGGGGACCCAACACTTTTGTACATGACATACTTCCAGGCAAAACACTATTGCACGGGAAGCCAGACACTGAGCAAGCAAGACGTGACTGCCTCATCAAAAAAGGTACTGAGCCACATGGCTAATACAGACAAGAATAATGGGTTAATGTAAGATGTAAGAATTAATTAATAAGAAGCTGGAGCTACTAGGCCAACCAGTTTATGATTAATGTAGACCTCTGTGTGTTTCTTTGGGACTAAACCGATGTGGAACTGGTGGGACAGAAGACTCGGTAAACAAACAAACAAACAAAAAAGGGTACTGGCTGTTCTTTCAGAGGACCCGGGTTCAATTCCCAGCAGCTCACAACTGTCTGTAACTCCAGTTCCAGGGAATCCAACATGCTCACATAGACATACATGTAGGCAAAACAGCAACGTACAGAAAAAAACTGAAATAAATAAATCATTAAAAAGAGTTAATGAGCTGGGCTAACGTCCTAGCCACCAGCATTTGAACCCTGTGAGCCGTTGAGGTGGACGCAGCACACAGTCACTGATGTGATTATTTAGCTCTACTCAGTAGTCAGCCTCTGGAATTTCTTCAAGTACCTGGGGAACGTTTCTTACATTGAATATATCTCTGTGCAACCATCTATTCCTAGTGAGGGTTGGCAGCAGCACCTCTGGTAGCCCACCAGTCTCAGAAGCTGAATCTCAGGCTCAGTCACCCAACAGCTAAGGGGAAATCGCTGAAAAAAAAAAATAAACACTCACTATCACTGGTATACCTGTCCCCACTGCAAGACCTCAGCCAAACAGGCTATCAGCTACCATTGCCTGGTTCCCATCTTAGTTAGGGTTTTTATTGCTATGATAAAACACCATGACTAAAAATAACTTGAGGAGGAAAGGATTTATTTTATCTTAGAACACTCAGGTTATATTTCAACATGGAGGGAAGTCAGGGGAAGAACTCTAGGCATGAACTAAAATCAGAGGCCACGGAGGAACACAGCTTCTTACTGACTTGCTCCTTACGGCTTGTGTGGCCTGCTTTCTTGTATCATCCAGGACTAACTGCCTAGAGATGGCCCTGCCCAGTGAGTGGGGCCCTTCCATATCAATCATTACTCAAGAAAATATCCACAGACTAACTGTATAAAGACATTTTCTCAATTAAGATTACCTCTTCCCAATCTGGACATGGTGGTACGTATGTTTGACCCCAGCACTTAGGAGTCAAAGGAGGGCAGAGCTCTGGAAGTTTGAGGCCAACCTGGAATAAAATAGCAAGTACCAGCCAGGACTACATTGACTTTGTCTCAAAACAAGATCACTGTTTCTCAGATATATGTAAGTTTGTGTCAAGTTAACAAAAGTCAACCAACCAGCACTGTTTTCTCAAAGATCTGGGTCAATGGTTTTTCCAGAGTTTTTATTTATTAATTAATTTATTTATTCATTTATTTATTTTGGAGGGGGGAGGCTCTATCTCCACCAAATTTAGACTTAATTTTCTTGCAAACGAAGAATATTTTTTTTTCTAAGCAAGGATCAAAAAGCTCTATTTAATCATTTTCTATACTCACCTGGGCAAGAAAATAGCAGTTATCTACTGCTAGGTAATAAATTAAATAAATTAAAGCAAGTGACTTTAAACGAACATTTATTGTCTCACAATCCTGGTCTCAGGTTCCAGAGTGTTCTCTGAGTACTGTGGCTGAGGGTCTCAGGAGGTGCTCAGCTGCAGCTGGAGGACCAGCTTCCAATAGGGTTCACTCACATGGCTACTGACAGGAGGCTCCAATGTCATATGGACCCCTGTGAGATGCAAGGGCTTGAGCTTCTTCATGACCTGGAAGCTGGCTTTCCCTGAGATGAAGATAAGAGAACCAGCGAGAAGCTGCAAGGTACTTTATTTTTTTATTTCTGTTTTTTTTTCTTTTGTTTTTCTCCTATTATGAGTCACTTACTATGAATAATAGTAAAAAAATAATAAGTACTTTTCAGGGGCGGTGGTTTATGCCTAGGAATAGAGTTGCTGGGTCAGCTCTTTGTTTAGCTACTAATACGTGTTTACATTTCCATCAGCAGTATAGGTTCCAAGTTCTACATATCCACTTCAACATATTTTCCAGGTTTTTTATTAATTTATTTTTTTGTCATATATTATATTCCAACTGTAGTCTCCTCTACTCTTTCCCCAACCAATCCCCCTCCACTTCCCTTCAAAAACAGCAGGCCTTCCAAACATAGCTTATCAAGTTGCAGTAAGACGATGCACTTCCCCTAGTACTAAGGCTGGACAAGGTGACCTGCTGGGAGGAAACGTCACAAAAGCAGGCAAAAAAATTCAGATAGCCCCCTTTCCCACTATTAGGGGTTCCACAAGAACACCAAGCTACATAACTACCACACATTATGTAGAGGACCTAAGTCAGATCCACGCAGGCTCCCTGGTTCTTGGTTCAGTCTTTGTGAGTGCCTATGAGTCCAGGTTAGTTGATTCTCTGAGTTTTCTTGTAGTGTCCTTGTTTCCTCTGGTTTCTACAATTCTACAATCCTTCTACCCCCTCTTCTGCAGGATTCCCTGAGCTCTGCTTAATGTTTGGCTGCGGATCTCTGTGTTTGTTTCCTTAGTTGATGGATGAAGCCTCTCTAACAACAATTATGCTAGACTCTGGTCTATGAGTATAGCAGAGTATCACTAGGAATCATTTTATTTACTATTTTTTTGGTCAGTCATGTTTGGCTCTATCCTAAGTCTCTGGCTATCTAGCTTTTGGTTCCTGGCTTTCCAGCTTTCCTGGCAGTGTCAGGGGTGGGCTCCCTCTTGGCATGGATCTCAAGCTGGGGAGGACATTGGTCATCCACTTTCAATTTCTGTGTCATCTTTACCACAGCATACTTTGTAGGCAGGACAAATTGTAGGTCGAAGGTTTTGAGGCTGGGTTGGTGTCCTAATTCCTCCACTGGGAGTCTTCCTGGTTACAGGAGATGGCAAAGTCCTTTGTGATCAAGCCTCTATCACTCTAACAGCCTATTGGTTACATGTCTGTTGTCCTCAGGAGAGAGTGCTGGTGCAGAGAGGCTGTCCCTAAGAAAGTCTAGAAGCCATGGACCTGGTCACCATGCTCCTTAAGCTACTCTGAGTTAGTTAGGACCTCAAGAACAGAAACCTGGGGCTGGAGAGATGGCTCAGTGGTTAAGAGCATTGCCTGCTCTTCCAAAGGTCCTGAGTTCAATTCCCAGCAACCACATGGTGGCTCACAACCATCTGTAATGAGGTCTGGTGCCCTCTTCTGGCCTGCATGCATACAAGCAAACAGAATAAATACTGTATACATAATAAATATTTTTTTTTTAAAAAAAAAGAACAGAAACCTGATTTCAGGAATCTGAATACAATGATTTACAAGCAATGGTGGCTATGATGAAAGGCACCAAATATAAGAAGAGTGAAGGTCTCTAGTTTAAGCATCATGTCTTGGGAACTGGACGAGAGCAGATGACCTTCAAGGAAAGGAGACACAGACTACCCTAAGTCCAAGGACAAAAAGCAACAACAAACACAAGTGTTTACCTGGCTTGAAGAGCAACTTCTCTCTTTATAATTAAAAGGAAAGCCTGATGTCTATTTGGTCCTGCTTGTGTAAATTATGGCACTACCTTCAAAAGGGGCCTGAGAATTGGGATCCATGAGTCCAGACTAGCACTGAACTATTGTGGACTAAACTGCGCCCCACCTACTACTCCAATTATAGAAACCCTAAGTGTCAGTATCATACAATGTGAGAGTGAGTAGCATTTAGCCTGACTGGTGCCCTTGAGAAACACTAGGATACACTGAAAGGAACCAGAGATAAATGTGCACAAAGGAAAGATTCTGGGAGGACACTGCACGTCAGGAGAGGCGCCCTCAAAAAACTGACCCTATGACACTTACCTTGTACTTCCAGTCTCTAGGACATTAAACAAATAAATAGTTTTTGTTTAAGTCACTATATTCTGTGATATTTTATTAATTTATTAATTAATTTATTTATTTTGGTTTTTCGAGACGGGTTTTTCTGTAGCTTTGGAGCCTGTCCTGGAGCTAGCTCTCGCAGACCAGGCTGGAATCAAACTCACAGAGATCCACCTGCCTCTGCCTCCTGAGTGCTGGGATTAAAGGCGTGCGCCACCATCGCTCGGCTCTGTGATATTTTATTATGCAGCCTAATGAACCAAGACCTCAGTCCTCTGGACTGATTTGGAATGTTGACCTTTTCTGTAAAGTAACTCCTAATATCTGCTGTAGAATGTGGCATGAAAATCAACACAAGGGGCTGGAGAGATGGCTCAGTGATTAAACACTGGCTGCCCTTCTAGAAGACCTGGGTTTAATTCTAAGCACCCAAATGATAGCTCACAAACCTCTGAAACTCTATTTCTAGGCGATCCATGTTCTCCTTACCTTTCCAAGAATCACTGGACGTATGCATGTGATACACAGGCATACATGGAGGCAAAATATCCAAACACATTAAAGATAGAAAAGAACCGGGCAGTGGTGGCACACCTTTACTCCTGGTACTTGGGAGGCAGAGGCAAGCAGATCTCTGAGTTTGAGGTCAACCTGGTTGGTCTACAGAGTGAGTTCTAGAACAGTCAGGACTCTTACACAGAGAAATCCTGTCTCGGAAAAACAAAAACAAAATAGGTTAAAAAAAAAAAAAAGATATGAGTTCAAGTTCATCCTTTCCAGAATCAGGGAGGTGAAGAAGGTTGGGTTTCCCCGAAGGCCAACTGATGAGGGTATTCAGAGAGTCTGTTTCTCTTACTGTTGATCCTGAAAGTGTCCAGATGGGCCCCAGACCTCCTGATCTACTCAGAATGTGTAGAGGCCCTCAGAGCTGCCTTATTCCTATTCATCTTCTCCTTAGCTAGAAAGCACCTTCTGGATTCGCTCCTGTACTTCCTTTGCACCCAAGGACACCATCATCTCAGCCACAGGAGGTCCTTGCTAAAAAAAAAAAAAAGAAAGAAAAAAACACAAAAATTCTGTCTTTTTGCCTTGAACTGCAGAAGGAATGCATGCTTATTTTCAATGTCTCAATCTGTAGAACACAACCCACAGGCCAGCCCAACCCACAGCCTGCAACCCCAGGAATGAAGCCTGTATTTATTGTATCTTCTTTTGTCTAGGGTGATTTTTTTTAAGTTTTATTTTGTTTTATGTATATGGGTGCTTCACCTGTATGTGTGTCTGTGTGAGGGTGTCAGATCCTCTGGAACTGGAGATACAGAGAGTTGTGCGATGACATGTGGGTGCTGGGAACTGAGCCCAGTCCCCCAGAAGAGCAGCCAGTGCTCTTAACCTCTGAGTTATCTCTCCAGCCCCTGTTTTTGTTTTATTTTTGCAGATCTAGGGATCAACCTTAGAGCTTCATGAATGCTAGCAAATGCTTCAGCACTAAGCTATAACCCAGCCCTACTCAGTCCTACTTGTCTGAATTTTTTTCCCCATTCAATGGCTCTCAGGAGGCTTTTTCTGCCTTTGCAAATTGGTAATCTATTATTCTCATGATCTCCTTGAAGGAAGGGATCATATGTGTACTGTTTATGCCATCTCCACTGTAACTATCACAGTGCCTGGACCCAAAAGATGCTCAATGGGTAAATAAGGGAAGTGATCTTTTCATCAGTTTATCATCCCCCTGGACTGGCCTTAGTACCAGACTATGAACATTGGCTGGGAGGGTCAATGAGGGGCTATCTACAACATTTCAGTACATGCTTCATCTCACCATCTGTCCACTGAGGGTCATTCGGAGGAGCTTCATCACGCTGCTGTACTTGGTGCCTTCTAGGCCTTCTGAAAGCTTCTTCAGTTCTCTGTTCAGCACATCCTGAGTTAGGCTCAAACCAGACGTTTCTAAAAGTCTAAAAGAGAACAAGTCTGAGGCAGGCGTAACGGTCATGATTATAATCCCAGAGCTGGGGAGGCAGAGGCAGACTAGCCTGGACTACAGAGCAAGTTCAAGGACAGTCAGGGATACACAGAGAAACCCTGTCACAAAAAACAAAAACAAACAAAAAACTTAGATAGTATTTACTATATCGAACAGCTCAGAGACATTGCAGAGGAACCTAGGAAGAAAACTTGAGAATGGGTTGGACACAGAATGCAGGACTAGGTAATTTCTGAGGAATTACTTGAAACAGCTTCAAGATTTGTCAAGGGGAGTATAGCACAGAGGAAGAGAAAGAAAACATCAGGAAACAGCAGCTCTAGGAACAGTTTCACTGTCAACATGCTAGGTAGTGATGGGGAACTTCAGCCAATCACATTTTGCTTCGGGTGTGTCCCCCTGGGGCCACACAAAACAAATAAAAGATCCAGGTGCCCTTGCCCCCTCCTCTTTGCCCTCTGCGGTCCTGGATCACTGGAACCCTGGTTTTTGTAAGTTTCCTTTCTTCTGTTTATTAAAGCTGTATATTTTATATTAAGCTAGTCTGGCAAATCTTTTATTACCAATCGCACCATGCCATTTCATCTGGCCCAAAAAAAAGGGGGGGGGATTGATTGGTGATGGGATAATAATATATTGGTATTTGTGAGTTATTGTTTTTAGAAAATTGTATTGGTGTTGATTTTTGTACATTGATATATTGAATATTGTATGTGAGTATGCTTCTACCTCTATTTGTATTGATATATATATATATACATATATTTACATTCCTACCTCTGATTAAGATATTTATGTAATGATATACATTGTTTACATTTGTAGGTCATTGTCCTCACTCATTGCACAGTTGTTCATTCTTAGTCTTCAAGTTCAAGAAAGATAGAAATCAATAGTCATATATGTTTGTTATATTTATATTTAGGCTAATCAGGTTATTTAGGTGCAAAGAGATCATACTTAGTATAGATAGTATAATCTTCAACCTCTTCGAAGAGCTGTAGAAAATGGCCTTTAATATAACTCATAGTTCTATAGTAGTGAGACACAATCGCTCCTGGCATCACCGCTCTACTCCTGAAAAAACGTTGAGCACCAAAGACACTCCACCTGGAGCTTGTCTTCTTCTGGCAGAAAAGGCCTTTGGACAAAAAAAAAAAAAGTCCATACTTTAAATAAAGTTAGATAAACCATAAAAATATTTAAAAATATTTAAAAAAAAAAGAAAAAAAAAAGGGGGGCTGGAGAGATGGCTCAGTGGTTAAGAGCACTGACTGCTCTTCCAGAGCACCCAGGCTCAATTCCCAGCACCCACATGGCAGCTCACAACTGTCCGAAGATCCAGTTGCAGAGGATCTGACACCTTCACACCAATGCACATTAAATAAAGTTAGATAAACCATAAAAAATATTAAAAAAAAGCCCATACCTCAACCACTGACAAAATTACAAAATATTCGTAAATGGATAAAAACAGGATTGTCTTATCTTGCCAAGACAGGATGAGAGAGTCCTAAAAGGTTTCTTGCCTTTAAAAAATGGCATGTCAGTTACATCAGGCCTTAGCCAAAGCTGGTTGACTCAACATTACATATGAGACTTTGAGTGATTGCCCAGGTATTCAGCTGTCTCTTCCATTTGTTGCACATTTCGGAAGTTTCCCGCTTGTACTTCTGGGTTGCTTGAGTAAAATTATTTCCCTTCTCAGATCTTTGATGGAGTTGAAGATTAGATAGTTGTAGTTACCATCTACATTATTTAGACTCCCTAAAATAGAATGTTTAGTAAAACTTTTGTTATATGTTTCTTGCTTAATATTGTTTGTTGTTTGTAACTTTATATTTATTATTTGCTTATATTGTATATAGTTGTATTTGGTTTGGTTCTGTCTTATTTTAGAAAAAAGGGGGAGATGATGGGGAACTTCAGCCAATCACATTCTGCTTAGGGTGTGTCCCCCTGGGGCCACACAAAACAAATAAAAGATCCAGGTGCACTTGCCCCCTCCTCCTTGCCCTCTGCGGTCCTGGATCACTGGAACCCTGGTTTTTGTAAGTTTCCTTTCTTCTGTTTATTAAAGCTGTATATTTTGTATTAAGCTAATCTGGCAAATCTTTTATTACCAATAGCACCGTGCTATTTCAAGGCAGAGCCTCTTTCCCCACAAACAGAAACATGAAGGATCTAAACTCCAGCAGTCAGCAACCATCATCATTTCCTGGAAGCATATCTGAGTTTCGAGTGGTCCCCAACTAGTGAGAGCTGGACTTATAAAGCATCTATCCCAGCTCTGACTGAGGAAG